ACCAGTATTTTATTAGTAAAATAAACCAGTAATAAACCAGTATTTTATTTTGCACATAAATAGAGAAAAACACTAAGATACCTATGCAAAAAAAACGTATATTTTTTAACTTTGCATTAAGACTTTTGGATTTTCATTCTCTCTTTATTTCCCTCCCTTTTTCTTTCTCTCTGTGTGTGTGTGTGTTTGTGTGTGTGTGTGTGTGTGTGCTTCTCTATCTGTCACTGAGTCTGGCCCTGGTTTTAACTTCAACTTTGGGTCTTTATGAATAATTAAGGGAATTAAAATTAATTTATATTTCTAAAAAATAGAGTATATCCATTTATGATATCATTGCTATTATTCATATTTTCATATTCTTTCAGTTCAATTTATTAATGATAAAATCATATAAAGATTTACCCTCATCTTTATCAAATATACAATGCCCCAACTATTCTATCTTATTTACTGTCTTGTTTAATCATGTATTCATTAAACTTTTAACTGTGGTATTTGCAGGACATTTTACTAAGTAAGGTGATCTTTTACACCTTTGCAATTACTTAAGCTGTAAAATAACTTGTTGCATTGATCCTGATGCTAGCAATACCACGTCAAAACTCCATTATGGTCATTTATTATTTTATTTAATAAATTTTCATCATTAGTCTTTGGCAATGTGGTAAGCACATAGTACATGTTCTGTTCTACCAGCTCATTGCTTGCCTCATAGAAAACACTTGAAAAAGATTAATTGAAAAATACATTTGTTGATTGAGTTTAATCCCAGAAGGCATAAAACATGTCCGTATTCTGTTGTAGTGATTAGCTAAGGATATACATTGTGCCGTCATGAAATCTTAGACCTCTGTGCTTTGCTCTCACTCACAAACCTAGGAGTTACCCAGAAAGCAAAATGTTTATTTTCTATTACAATCATGTTCAATTTTTTCCCTTTTACATTTCTTAGAAATTTTGCAAAACTCTGCATCCCTTTCCACAAGTTCTAAAATTTTTCATCATAAGTTAAAGGATTACAAGTGATATAATTTATAGATTATTGTAAAGTTGCCATATCCCTTTTAAAATCTGAGTTAGTGGAATCCAAACACTATAATATTTTTAGATGTCATTATCAACTTAAAATATTTATCAAAAAATTATTTCTTAACATTTGGAAATTTTTTATCTTTCTCTTTTTGAATTCATATTTTCATTCCACTTCTCTCATACAAATTTTACTCAAGAGCTACATTATGATTCTCTAAGGAAAAAAATTGTGTATATTGAAATTTTAAAATTTCCTTCGTATTCTGTGATTTCATATCCTGTAATATATTAACCTTTAGACTATAAGAATCTAAGAATCTAAAGGTTAATATATTGCAAATCTTCATAAGTTATTATTAAGCCTGAAAAGTGGAATTTTTTTTAGAATGCCATCTAGTGAATGGGGCTTTAAAAGTAGTTCACCTATCTGTGGATTAAGGTATTTTACAGTTAGAATGAGACAGGCTTCATCAACAAATCTAACCTTATATTTTACTTTTAAAGATACAAATATTGAGAAGCCTTATGCACATCTGTATAAACACACACACACACACAGACACACACACAATATTATTAGGGCAATGTTACTTAATTTTTTTGTCTCCTTCCAAGTAATGTCAAACAACATGAAGAACCAACAACAAATGTATTTATATCTGAAGTGAAAATAGTACAGTTATAAACCTGGGCATGCTCTCAAGCAGATCAATTTTAGGAAAACACTCAAATGGCATTCAATTCCTTTAAATCTCTCTGCTCTTATTTACCTCTTAGAAAGGGAGGTGTTAACATTTCCAAGATATATAGCCTGGTGTCAAAAATATTGCTTAAAAGCACACTTCCAGATAGTATACCACTATATACAAAATATAATTTTTTCAGAAAATGTGATTTATAATAGTATTTGGTTTTCATAGTTGTAATTTTTAGATAATTGTGTAATAAAATATAGTATTTTCTAAAGATTCAGTGCCTGGGGGTCTCATCATGAAGTGTTTTGTAATAGAACTTAGTATTTTAAAATTTTGACAAGTTGAAAAATAACTATGCATGAAGAACATAAAGACACTAGGTACCACATGTAATACCCTGAAGCTATATTTATATATAACAACTGATTCCACGGACTAGCAGAATCACATATTTCATCCATATTAATAATCCGTTTAATAATCAATACTGCAACCCTGAGATTAGTTGACTACACCATTATTCCATATCAAATTAAGAACTGCAGACTTCAACCACAAATAACAAGCTGGCTGAAACTTTATTTTGTTAAGAATAGCAATAACTCAACAAATAAAGCATACTCAAATAAAATGTTTTAGGTAGACATAGGACAGTTGAATAAAAAATGCTACAGCCTGATAATTTAGGCAATATAAAATGACTAAATATTATTGAATATATATGAATTGACAAGGGTGTTAATGAAGAGTCATTTAGATGGGTGAAAAACAAATGTTTTAAGAGACTATCATTCTACATTGCCCCCAAATTCTTTCTTAAACCAAAATTTGTAAATGTAAAAATGAATAAAATAACCTATAAGACAAGAGTAATTTATAGAATTTTTCCCCTGATAATAATGTTAAAAGTATACTTGAAATGTAGAATATATATTATAAATGTTTTATAAAATATTACCTACTACTTTAAAGCTCTCATTGCCTCTATACTTCTATGAAAGAAAAGCTTACACATAAAAAATAATAATTACAGTGAAATGATCTTCTTGAGTTCACTTTCAATTAAGGTTTATTATTACATAGCCTCTGTACCCAAGATAGGGCATCTGAGATTTTTACTTAAATGTCAATTTTTTTCATGTAACTGTGAATAATACTATTAAGAAAATATATTCAGGTGATTTAAAGTCAGTTCCCCTAATTTTGAGTATGTAATCTTTAAAGACATTAATGTACATGTGTTGAAGGACATATATCCCTTAGACTATTTTTAACTAATAAGCATTTCTAACATTTTTTAAAAGTACCCTAAACAAATATTTAATAATTTTTCTGGTAAAAATTTGATATGCTCAATCAAGGAAATAATTTAAGAAACAATAATAAAACAGCTTTGTATGAATTTGCAGTTTATACTAATTACTATATGAAGCTTAATTTTTAAAGAATTTCAAAGAAAAATTTAAGTCAAAAGAACAGATTTCTTAAATAGTAAATATCAATTTATGAAAAATATGGCTTTATGATAGTCTTATGGAATTCAGTTTATAAGTATAAATGAGCAAACATCATTTATCTGTTTTCCCCTCTTCCATTTCCAATGAAAATAAACACGCATAAGCTGTTATTTCCAGATAATGACTGATAGCTCACTTAAAGTTTGTCTATGTTCACTCTCTATGGGAAATCAGCTACAGAAAGACACTGCTCCTGATCTCTTGAAGTTTATAGACAAATCTAGAATCTCTAAACCTGAATTTCATGGCTGAAGTCCATCTTGAGTGCTCGAGTTCTAATTCTGGATTTCTAGGTGTAGAAACCCTTCCTTTCTCCTCACAGAGCTTTATAAACATTTTCATTTCTGGATGCCTTTGCCACAGTTGAGTTTGACTGGCTTAGCTCTTTTTTGCTGCATGAGTTACAAATCCAAAGTTTCTAATTTAACATACACTAAATGGATTTTACCCCAGATAGTGTGAGGTACTCATCATTTTCTCGGGGAAGGCTGAAACTGTAAGTTTGGATCCCGCTGTTTGAATCCACAGTAGGTATTAGGAGAGAGCAACAGAAGCCAGGGTTATCTTCCTGGGTAAGTACCTTCGACAGCCTGCCCATGTGTAGCAGTGACTAAAACATTGCAATTGTTTAAAATCTGGCTTAAATATTGGCTCTTTTCTCACAACAAATGTACCTCAGGATGTACTATCTGCTCCCCAGTGGAACTTCCATGAAGTTCCTACCCCTGCCTGTCAAAATTCCTGCGCTTCTGAAATTCCTGCCCCACTGCTGTCCTCCTTTGTCTGAGGTTTATCATTCTCTTCATTCAGGTTGTGACCACCTCACTCAGTCACCTTATCTATTCCTGCAAGGAATTCCTCCACAGCACATCCAGGCACATCCAGGTGACTCCACTCCATGACAGTGACATATCACACATACTGACTGGATATGCCTTTGCCTCCTAGACTGTTATGTCCCTCACCATCTTGTTGTCCTGGCCCACGGTCATCACCTAACTTGCAAAATAATGATGGCAAGAAAATAAGAAGGAAAAGAATAAGAATAAAAATTTAAAATCAATACATCTGATCATGGTGAGAATAAATCATGGGTGTCATCATTTTCTGGGCTATTTCTTTTTTTTTTTTTTTTTTTTTTTTTTTTTTTGAGACGGAGTCTCGCTTTGTCACCCAGGCTGGAGTGCAGTGGCGCGATCTCCGCTCACTGCAAGCTTCGCCTCCCGGGTTTACGCCATTCTCCTGCCTCAGCCTCCGAGTAGCTAGGACTACAGGCGCCGCCACCTCGCCCGGCTAGTTTTTTGTATTTTTAGTGGAGACGGGGGTTTCACGGTGTTAGCCAGGATGGTCTCGATCTCCTGACCTCGTGATCCACCCGCCTCGGCCTCCCAAAGTGCTGGGATTACAGGCGTGAGCCACCGCGCTCGGCTTTCTGGGCTATTTCTAAGGCTACAGAATTCTCCCCTCATTCCTCAAATTCCAGCTCATATTGGTCTGTATATAAATGAATCCATACAAATCTACTGAAGAAGGTATTTTAAAAATAATCATCAGAAAAATAGTGAGACCACCTTCATTGGAAAAGAAATTGAGTATATTTTTTTACTGACTATAAATCTTGACCTAATTATTAAACAAAACCTTCATATTAAAATAAATTAAGCCTACAACTCAAGTAAAATATATCTGAACCATGCTGAAAATTGATATTACCATAAGAGAAAAAGAATTATTATCAAAGGTGAGAACAACAAACCTTTTTTTCTCAAGGGAGGCTCCTCTACTTCTCCTAGACCAAGATTGAAACAAAAAATTAGAAAATATTTTAACATAGAATAAGACATCATTATTTCCCCCTTTCTTTGTTCATTTAAAAAAACTATTAGTTTTAACAATCATAGTCTTTACATTACTTTGCTTCCCAAATTCCAGTTTTTAAGTATAAACTTTGTTTATATACATTTATATAAGATTGTTTCATTTTTATGAATTCAATAAAATTATGGCAGTGATCCAAATTATATATTATAGGTTATAAATCATGTTAATTTCAATTCTCTATTGTTCGTCTTGTACTCTTACTGGGGCCAAAACAAATATAAATTCAGGAAAAGTTATAAAAGTACTCTAATAATAAAAGCATTCCTGGTAGTCAAGGCTGAATACATGATTTCTGATGACTAAGACTGACCCTAAAAAATGTTATCTAATAGATGGAATCATAATGCTTTGTTTTTTTCATACGCATTCAATGGCAGTTTTTATGTGGTTTGAGTTGGCTATTTCCTTTTATTCATTAATATATATAAGAGAGCACATAGGTTAGTTGCATAATTGTTAGGACATTTAGAATGTGCCCTTCTATTCTACACCACCATTTGGTTCAATAAATTTACTCTTTTGATTGTACTTTTAGTAAGATTGCTTTCTGCTATTTGACTATAAACATGACACATGTGTATAAAACACTTACATGTATTTTTAGTTTTACTGTTTTTATTTTAATCTTCCTAGAGATAAACTTGAAAAATAACTACTATTTTTTCCAAAGAATCATATAAATGTGAGTTTGTATTGTGGTTTTATAGTAGTGCATAATGAGACTCTCTTTGCTGTAATGCTACATTAATATCAGCATTTAATGTTGACATCTTTACCATACTGTCAGATAAGCTATAAGATAAAAATTAAATAAAGACCAATTTACTGTGTTTGGCAGCCTGTTGATACGCTTTTAGCAGTAAGAAGTGTATACATTTTGTTTTAGCTTGACCCAAGGGCTCATTTGAATGTAAACTGAGGCAAGCCACTATAAAACATATCTAATATTGGTCCTAGCAGTTAGATATATCTCTATGTTCTTTGTACCTTTATCAGTGTCTTCGTCACCATCATCTTCTTCATCAGCTTCAGATGAGATTATGTCGGATAACAAAGAAAAGAAGCCATAGATCCAGTCCGTGGTTTCCTCCACAGCATCATGTACAAGTTTTAAAGGATCCGAGCCAATCTTGGCAATAGAGCTTGCTAAAAGTAATTTAAAAAAAAAAGAAAGAAAGAAAAAAATTGCAATCATTTCCAAAGAACTTAAGAAAAGCTGTTTTTACTGATTTGTTCTTTTGACACAATGAATATGTCAATTTCAACATTCTAAATATCTCCTGGCTACAATTTCTTGCTCAGAAATAGAAACTTTATCTTGCTATAATATACATGCATGCCAAGAAAGAAAATGCCCTTGGGAAGTTTATAATCCAAATAAGAGTTAACACAGGAAAAAAATTAGGCGTGAATTAAAATAATGTGTATTTATGTTACCCAGATTGCAAATAAACGCTGTGTTACGGATGTTCAGGAATGGAAGAAATCATTTCGGCCCATATTGTATGGGACAGCATTATAGAAAAGATGACTCTGTAAGTTTTCAGACAAATAACAAGTTCTGCAAGTTGACTAAGGTAGTTGTGGCAAAATTAAGACTGATAGGCCCATTTATTCTAATTTGTGATACCACAGGAAGAATCTGGAGTAGTCAAGTTAGTGATCATATCAAGCTCTAGTTGGAATAGATTGTATTTATCTGTTAGTCATCCCTGTACATTAAATTAAAAAGTATTCAAACTGCTAGTAACTTCAATGGATAGAATCTATAAGTCTTCCCTTTTCTATGTCCTAGGAGATATAAAATGTTTGTGAAATGAAAGATTGAATCATAAAATGTGCAAGTAAATGATTAGGAATTTCCAAAATTTTGTTTTTCCAATCATATGAAAACTGCTCTGAAGAGGCAAGCATAGCCTTTAGGATGTGATTACAGAGGTGATCTATCTAGAAATATGGTATAAATTACCTCTGATTTTTTATCCATCAGTAATTAAATTTTAGAGCTATGTTTTCCTTAATTTTAAAAACTATTTTAGCTTTTCAGAGATTCTTCTCTGTTTGACATATTTAAGAGATGAGAATTATATCAATATATGATATTATCTAAAGGTTAAGTACATAAAATTAGACTTTTACTCTGATTGACATAGGAAGTCATTGGAAGATTTGAGCAGAAAGATGAAGTGATTTGACTTCCTTTGCTGTGTTGAAGATTGAAAGGGTGCCAGGCTGGAATCAGGAAGACAAATATGAAGCCAACTGAAATAATCCAAGAGAAAGATGATGGTGATTTCTATCAGGGTGGTAACAGTGTGTGTGGTGAGACGCAATCAGATTCTGAATGTATTTCAAAGAAAGAATTAATAGTAGATGCTTCCAGTGTGGTTGTGATGTGACAGAAAGAAATTCAGGATAACTTCTAGGTTTTTGGTGTGAGAAACTGGAAGGAAGGAAATGCCCTGAGCTGGGGGAGGACTGGAGAGAAACAAGATTCTTGTTGGGTGCGAGTGGGGTTGGGAGTAGAAAAGTAGCTGAGTTTTAGACTTTCAAAATTTGAGTTGCCTATTAGATACTTACATCAAGATGTAGACATTTGTATAATGCAATGTGATGTAGAAAAGAGGAGTTCTACATGAAAACAGAAACTTAAGAATCCAACAGAAGACAGAAGGTATAAAAGCCATAACAATGAGTGAGATCACCAAGGAAGTTGACCCAGAAACACTAAAACAAATGTCAGGGAGATAAGTCAGAGAGATAGGAAGAAGGCTGCAATGGATTCTGAGGGGACATGACGGAGAGAGTGACAGGCAGAGCAGGAGTGAGCAAGAGAGAGAGAGGAAGAAGGAACCAAGAAGGTGTAATTCAGTAGAGGCAGTGAGTATATTTTTCTGTCTATGACAGAGATTGAGTAATACTAGAAGAGGAACTAGGATCATAGTGAGTTTTTCTGTTTTTACCACTGTTCAAATAGGAAGAATGTACCATGGTTTATACTGATGGGAAGATCTCATAGAGACGGGAAAATTATATGAAAGAGAGTATTTCTGGGGACATTTTTTAATTTTTAATTTTATATTCCATTCTGAGGGATTTGTGGAGCACACAGACCATTCAGTGACCCCCGGTATAAAATGCTGCTCTCTGGGAAGCCTGTCTCCATGATTCATTGATAACGTATTTTCACTCTTTGCACCCCATTTTACTACATTCCTGAGTGTTTCATGTGAGCAAGAAATGGCCATTTGAATGGTGAGATTAAACCTTAGACAAAGGAAATGAAATATAATTTTATAATTGCAATTGAGGATTTTAAAAGAATCATATGTAAGGAACTGGATTGTTCTGGCACCATTAAAGGCATTTTTAGCACTGGTATATTTTATACCTAATGGAAAAATCTGCAAATGAGATTTTTATGATGAGAATAGATTGAGACTATTTCTCCATTTCCCTTCTTTCTAAGTGTTAACTGAAGAGCTTAACAATAAAATCCAGCAAAATTGAAATCAGTTTAATTATGCTTATGCTTAAATGCACTATATGTACTTTGCAGACATATATATATTGCCTGGCTCTAAAATAGTCAAAGCAGGCTATTTTTATGAAGTTATCATTGCTAGCTTGAGATCAGCTTCTGATTTTCTGATTTTCAGCCATGTGGACCACTTTTTCTGAAACCTAAATACACACACACACACACACACACACACACACACTTAAATAAGACAGTAGTCCTGAAGTTGATTCTTATTATCTCTTTCAGACCTCACATCCAAATTCAGATCATATCAATGGAAAAAAAAATTATTCAATGCAAACTAAAAATTTTATTGATGTCTTTTTTTAAGGAGATACTTAGGTAATTTTACTTTCTTAGCTTTCATGTTTCCCTAAGTTTAATTGCATACATGACAGTGATGATCATCTTAAAAATAATAGTCAGACACCATTATAAAAACTTTACATGTATTAACTCACATTTTCTTCTCAATAACCCAGTGACGTAGGTATATTATTTTCTACCTTTTTGTAAAACATAGGAAAACTAAGGCACAGATAATTTAAATAAGATGCCTCAGGTTACATAGCTAGTAAGTGATGGAGCCACATTTACACCCATTTTAGGTCACCAAAACAAGATTCTTAACTATTGTGCTATACGCTGTCAAAACAAAAAGCATAAAATCACAATTGATTCTAGGGTCACGTTTGGGATGGGGAGATTTTAGAAGGGGTTTTCTTGCTCTTAAAAGGAAGAACAAAGACTTTACTGCATGGGAACAAAAAAGCTTGCAGCTGCTGCAGTCATCTTGTAACCATGAGAACAGTAGCTGGCTCTTTGAGAAAGGCAAGGACTAAAACTGGAAAAAAAAAAAAAATGAGTCCACGATGACATTGCTAAGGCCTTGAAGTATCCAATGTTGAAATCACCCTACCTTCAGCACTTCTGTTATATGAGATAAGAAATGTTTCTCAGTGTTCAAGTCATTCTTAATTGTATCCAAGTTTTCTTACAGAAAAATATACCACTGAATGCCGGGAAAACTGCTTTAGGTTACTTGTGGTCAGTAATTGGATTCTTGGCACTGATGAAAGAGTGCCAAGAGAGACAAGAGAGGCCAAGAAAAGTTTAAAGTTAAATAAGATTTTTGTTTGTCCTCTGGTTTTGAAGCTAAGCTATGCACATAAACTTAAGTTTCTAAATGGGACTATACAAGAAAAATAATCATTTTCTCAGCTTCCCTTCTAAAAAATCAAGTCCATAGTTTCACTGTTATCTTTGGCCATCAGTCTCAGAGTCTGTAGGTAATATTTGACCCTTCTTTATTTTTCATATCCTGAGAAACATCAGCAAACAATGGTTACAAGCTTGGGCTCTGAGTTCAGACTGATAGCATTCAAGTTCAAGCTTCCTACCCAGTGCTGTGCCAACTATACTGAAACAAAAGAAGAAACAGTAATAATCATTCTTCCTTTATTTAAAATGTTGATATTTTCGTCATCATAGATTTTTGCATTAATTTTGAAAATTTTAATTCTGCATGAAAATATTATTTATTTCAATTTTTGAGTGTTTTGGAGGACTCCAATTTTGCACCCATGGTACTTTGCTCCCTTTTCTCTAGTCCTGGTACTTCCCCAACCTATTAGCTCTATGATATTGAGAAGACTAACTTTTGCCACATCTATAAAAGTTAGCAATGCCTTGCTTTTCCAAAGTCACTATTCTAAATCAAGACCTCAACCCTCTAGTGCCTGTTATTCCTGTATTCAACCTCTCTGTACTCCAATTTGTAACATATTCAGTTAGTGGGAAAAAGGATAAAGTACTCCGTGCTTCCATTTGCTGAACCATAAAATGACAATAAAAATAAGACTGCATAAGGATCTTATGCGTAATACATGAGATAATATAGACACTTCAAATGGTACAATGCCTGGTAATTAGTAAACATCAATGTGAAGAAATAAGCAAGATTGTCTGTTGAATGACCAAAAGTTCTTCTGAGCTTGCTAGCCGGAACTAATAGCTTCCCCTCCCCTCAACAAGGAGGCCTGTGTATCATCTCAATTTCTCCCAAAGTCTTCAAGTGCTACACAACTGGTGTTTCCAGTATTTCCTGATGCACTTGGCACCTAAACTCTGACTGCACAGCACTCAAACTCAAATGATTAACCCCAACCTTAATGCTACCCTTATGCTTTCCTTCAAAGGAAAGAACAGCTAAGAGGTGGAGTCTCTAGATTTGCCCATCTGCATCTGTCTGAGCCACTCCACAGGAAGGCAAGAAAACAAGGGTCCCAGGAATCTTCTGCCCTTCTGCCCATGACTCTGCTTGCACCAGATGGCACTTATTGGTGTTCACTGAAGCACAGTATACATAAACTTTTTGGTGTAAAGCATGTGTATTTGTCCGTTTTCACACTGCTGATAAAGAGACACCCGAGACTGGGTAATTTATAAAGATAAAGAGTTATAATGGACTCACAGTTCCACGTTGCTGAGGAGGCCTCACAGTCATGATGGAAGGTGAAAGGCATATCTTATATGGCAGCCAGCAAGAGAAAATGAGAGCCAAGTGAAAGGGGAAAGCCCTTATAAAACCATCACATCTCGGGAGACTTATTCACTACCACAA